GCAGAGCGCCCCTGGGTTCAATCCCCAGGACTGCACTAAAAAATAAATAAATAAAAGCAAATTGTCCTGGGGACTTGTTCTGGGTTTAACAGTTCCTCCCTCCGGCTGCCAAATTCATGTCCACCAGGAACCTGTCAATGGGACTTTACTTGGAATATGGGGCTATTTCCAGATGTAATTAATTGTTAAAATGAGATTGAAATCTAATATGACTGATGTCCTTTTAGAAAGAGGAGATCTGAATGCAAACAAAGAGGAGAAAAAGGCTATGTGATTATGAAGGCGAAGATTGCAATGTCACAGCTGCAAGGCAAGGAGAGGCAAGGATGATCAGAAGGCACCAGAAACTAGGAAGAAACAAGACTCTTCCCTGACAGCCTTTAAAGAAAGCATGGCCCTACCAGCGGTTTTTTGTTTTGTTTTGTTTTTGCTACAACCGATTGAACTCAGGGGCAGTTGACCACTGAGCCACATCCCCAGCCCTATTTTGTATTTTATTTAGAGACAGGGTCTCACTCAGTTGCTTAGCGCCTTGCTTTTTGCTGAGGCTGGCTTTGAATTCATGATCCTCCTGCCTCAGCCTTTCCAATTGCTGAGATTAGAGGAATGTGCCACCGTGCCTGGCCCGGACTTGGCCCTTGCCTGTACTTTGATTTTGAACTTCCATCCTCCAGAATTGTGAGATAATAGATTTCTATTGTTTGAAGCCACCCAGTTTACAGCACCCGGTCTGGCAGCCCTGGGAACTGAGAGCAGGGACATAGTGCCGGACAAGCGCTTGCTGGCTCCTGATATCCAGATCCCCTGTAGCCACAGGTTCAAGGGAGGCATTTCAAAAGTATCTGGCACAGGCCTCTAGAAACAATTCTCCCCTCCTCCTTCACACACACTGCATGCTAAAGATGAGATCCCATTGATCCAGTGCGGTGGGTTGGATTTCTACGGAGTGGAAGATGATCACCACCAATGCCCCAGGCAAGTGGAACTAGCAAGTTTTGAGAAAGTGATAGAGAACAGACTTCTCCAGAGAGAAGGTGACCTGGGGGGGGGGGGGGGGGGCGGAAGCCTGTGGGAGGGGTGCTATTTGCCCTTTTTTAGAGCCCTCAGAATTCCTCTTTTTCATCAATCATGTCTTTCCTTTCTTCCCGGTTTATGTGCCTAGGAGCACAAACGTGGAAGTTCTTTAAATCTTTTTTGAAAAATAACTGTCAGCAATCCTTTGTTCTCTCCTTAAAAAACAATTGTTGCCCTCTAGTCTCTCATCATGTTTACCCATGTTGACTGCTTGATTTAAAGAAAACAATTGTTAACCAGCTTTCTCTTTGCTGATGCACATCATTCTTGTCTACACTGACTGCCTGACTTTTCCCCTGCCTCACCATGAGAGCTGCTCTTTAGAGTCTTTGTCAGGAAATAAGATAACACAAAAGCTTTCAAACTAGAGAGTGCATTCCAGACTGTGAGGGGATTATTTTTCCTCTGGTGTAAAGAATTTTCCTCACAATATTCTGAACCAGCAGAATAGCAGCTTAGGAATGTAAATCAGCCAAATTTTCAAAACACTGTCTCTTAATGAGATAGAATTATCATTTAGCAACAGGAATAGGAAGGTAAGTGTTAGAATTGCAATGTTTTCTTAAATCATTTCTTTCTCTTCATTTTTTTAGTTGGGGGTCTTGCCATGTTGCCCAGCATGGTCTCGAACTCCTGGGTTCAAGCAATCCTCCCATCTCAGCTTCCCAGATAACTGGGACTATAGGCAAGTGCCACCACGCCCAGCTTGTTTTCTTAAATCTTTTAGAGATAACTTGAAGTATGAAGCCCTGGCTTTCATGTTTGCTGGATGGAATGCTTTTTTTTCTGCCAAAAGGGATTGTGTGAAGATTATTAGCAAGGTGTACCTTTGAAGTTGATTGTAAGTGAAATACTTCCTTGTAGGTTGTAAATTACCCAAGAGGCTGGGTGGTGTGGTGGGAATCATGTTGGATTAGAAATTCTGAGGTTGGATTCCAGGAAGTCTGATGTCAGAAATTCGCTGCAACTTGCTGGGGTCTTCATAAACCCAGACAGGTGATGGCTGCTGTTCTCTATCCTTGATGGAATGGAGGGAGAGTGAGGAATTGGCTCTTGCAGTGAGTGCAATAGTGTCCCCCCCACACACACCGAAAAGAAGTCCAAGTCCTGATTCTTGGTACCTGAATGTGCTTTATTGGAAAACAGGGTCTTTGCAGATGCAATGAACTTAAAGATCTCAGGATGAGACTTAGATGGCCCTTAAATTCAATGGTTGGTGTCCTTAGAAGAGACACAGGGGAGAAGGCCATGGGAAGAGCCATGTAAGGACAAAGGCAGAGATCAAAGACATATGCTATAGGCCAAGGAACACCAAGGATTGAGGGAGCCACCAGAAGGTGGGAGGAAGGCATGAACTGAATTCTCTCTCAGAGCTTCTAGAAGGCATCACCCTGTTGACACCTTGAGTTTGGACTTCTGGTATCCAGACCAGTGAGAGAATATATTTCTGTGGTTTGAAGCCACCAAGATTGTGGTCATTTTTGTGGCAGCTCTATCAAATGAATACAGTCCCGTACAGGGTAGAAGGGCACTGTCACAAAGGTCCTCTCCCCCGGTGACCCACAGGTAATCATCACCATACCCAATGATGAGAAGCCAGACTAAACACACACAGAATTCTAATAAGAGTTGTGTTGATTTCCTATGGCTGCTGTAATGAATTACCACAAACCTGGTAAGGTAAAACCACTCATTTTTATTTTCTTACATGGTCCAGGAACTCAGAAGTTCACAATCAGTCATGCTGGGCCAAAATCAAGGTGTCAATGGGACCTGGTTCCAGAATCTAGGGGAGAATCAATTTCATGCCACTTCCAGATCTGGTAGCTATTAGTATTGACTTCTGGTCACACCATGCCCATCTTCAAGGCCAGCATCTTCACATCTCTTTCAACTCTGTCTTTACATTGTGTTCTCTGTGCATGTCAAATTTCCCTCTGATAATCTGTGCAATTATCCTGCCCACCTGGATTATTCAGGTTAAGATTCTAAATCTTATCTGCAAAGACCCATTTTCCATATAGGTAACTATAGGCTCCTAATATCTTTGTGGCCATTTTTCAGCTAGTCACAGGGGTTTAGATGGTACTTTTATTAACATGTCAGATAAAGCCATACAGTGATAGGCCTGGAAACTTACCTTCATTTAACTTACTCTTTTGCTCCTACCACTCATGGTGAGGTTGGGGTGGGTTGGAGCAAGGCCTCTCAGTTTAGGTCTTCAGAGAATATTCTAAATGAATCCTACCTGTTTTCTCAATTCTATTTTCTACACTCCTTCTTCCAGTGTGACAAATCCCATCCCCTGATTTAAAAATTCTACTCCTCCCCGCAGTTTAGGACCTGCCCCTTTTCTCCCCAGGAATCCTGTGATCTCTTCCAATTCAGCTCTGACAACTCGAGGTTGGGGTTAGGAGCTTGGACCCCTATGGTTGGGGGCATATCGTGGTAACTTGCTGCCTCCAGCAACAGTGCTCTGACCTCACGTGGCCGTGACCAGGTTTCTCATGGATCACCCAAGGACAAGCACACCTTGCCATTGAGTACTGCATATCTTCCTAAAACAATCCAGTCTAACATTACACATAAAAACATTTCCCTCCTATTAATAGTACTTTTGAATCCATTCCTGGAAAATCTATAACCCTACCATTATTGAATCAAAGATTCTTTCCAGCTCTATTTTCACTCTCAGGGTTCCACATGCACTGGGAATAGCTCTGCCTGAGTCACTGGGATGCATGGTGCCATGGTTGAACACACAGTTTCCAACCTCTAAATTTATCTCCCAATGGAAGTGTGTGTGTGTTCATCCAGCTACACAATTATGAATGCATTAGAAAACTGGAAGGAGCAGAAAGTGAGTATAAGCTCAGAAAAGGAGGAGGGGCTAAAATGATATAAGAGAATGGTCAAAGAGGGGAGGACAAATCAGGAAGAAACAATGAGCAGGCAGGAAATCCTCCTGGGAGGGAGAAGCATAGAAAGCTCTTTTATGCTAGTGTTGGGATCAAGGCTCTTGGTTCCTGAAGCACTTGCAAATTCGAAGGGTCCTCAGAAAGATCACAAAATTATAAATACAGAATTAGGACATACAGAAGTATGTCTGGAGGACATACAGAAGTCTTAAAATTTGAGTTTCATTAGCTTCTGGGCACATCCTCTGTCTTTGGCTGGGAATGCAGGGGAAAACCTTACACATAAAATTTTAAAAATTTTTAGTTGTAGATGGACACAGTACCTTAATTTTGTTTATTTTTATGTGGTGTTGAGGATTGAACCCAGTGCCTCACACATATCAAGCAAGTGCTCTACCACTGAGCCACAACCCCAGCCGATAAAGTAGGTTTTAAAGAAAACTGTAAAACAATATTATTATAATACTTTATAGTTTAGGACACCTTTTCAAAGGCCCCCCTCCCTCCTGTACTAGGACTTGAACCCAGATATGCTCTTCCACTGAGCTCCACTCCCAGTACTTTATTATTTTGAGACAGGTTCTCACTAAGTTGCCCAGGCTAGCCTTGAACTTGCAATCCTCCTGCCTCAGCTTCTGGAGTTCCTGAGCATCTGGGATTACAGGTGTGCGCTACCATGCCTGGCTCAAAGACTTTTGCTTCATTCAATCCTGAGAAGAGCCCTGAAAAGACAATTTTGTATTTTGTCCCATTTTATATAAAGGAAAGTGACATTGAGATTTGGGATATTTGCCTCAGCACACTGGCTGGTTAGTGATGGTGGTGGTGGGGGCAGCGTGGGCTGGGACCTTGGTGACACTTGCCAGTGTTGAGAGTCTATGTGTATGAGATCCACAACTAGCAAGCACTTCTGCTTACCAAGGCTGGGCAGAGGGCTGGAGGAGACCAAGACAAGGCTAGATCACAGGGTTCCCCTCAGCTGCCTGCCACAGCATCGGTTCAGCTTACCTGTTTCCATCCCTGCCCTGGTTCTCATGGCCACGCTCCACAGGCAGCACCGGAAGTAATTTGCTCCTAATAGGCAGGGTCAGCAGTAAACAGGAATGGTGAGGCTCTGGGGAATTGCTTCAGAGCCTGCTTGTCCATCTCTGCAGGCAGCTCCCAGTCCCTGAAACTTGCTGTCCTCCTCTGAACCAGACTCTCAGTTCCAGTCAGGAAATCACAGGGGAGAAGTCCAGAGACTAGTCTGCAGCCTTTGAATGTCGGGGCCCCAAATAAAATTAAAATTGTCTACAGGCCACATTTTGTTCCCATTCAGAACCAGAATACTTTTCCTGTATCCCAAGAGGAAGCCGCTTTCACACTGCAGTGAAGCGGCAGGCTTTGTTCATGGTTGAGGTTCCCACCCCCCCCCCGCCCCCACCCCCAGCCCCGCCTCTGGCTTAACTTTGTGCCATAACTTCCCCTTTCCCAACCTCCAGAGAAGGCCAGGCCTTGCCAGGGGAAATACCCTTGAGTGGCTTAGTGAGATTCCACAACAAAGAGCTAGAAAAGAGGCCCAGGAGAGAAAGCCAGATGGATTTCTGAGAGAAGAGATAGTGGGGTATTTGTACTACAGGATAAAGGTGAAAAGAAGAGAAATAAGATTAAAAAAAAAATGTACAGAGGGCTTTATCGTATTTGAGAAATACACCACACAAAACACTTGATTTTTTTCACATTATTTTTAATTACATGAATGCCTTTTTAAAAAATTATTAACTCAGTGCTGGCCTGGACTGAATCGTTTGTGCTGTATGTAGCTTTATAAACATCATACCTACACGTTAGAATCCTGATGATTAAATCAGAGAATAGCAATGAGAAAAGTCATGAGAAATTGCGCATCGCTGGGAGTGGAATGGAGTGGAATGGAGTGGAATGTCACTTAAAGGTTAAGATCTTGCCACACTTGAGAAGTTAAGTGGGAACACTCTAATCCTGAAATTGGAGTGAGGGCCACATTTAGGAAAAAGATGTATTTGTCACATTTTTGCAGCTGGTTCCTGGTTACCCCTCACAGTTAAAAACATTACCTTGGAAATTTGGAAAATCCCCTCACCCCACCCCCAAACCTTCTGTGCTCATTCAGTCAGGAGCCATCTAAACACCCCCACCCAACATACCCCACCCAGGCCACCCCGTCTACTGCGGTCTTCAGGCTCATAGAAGGATTGCTGTAAAATTGAGGGGGAAGACTGCAGCCGTAATAGGAAAACCAAAACGTCGTATTTCCTTGTCACTTGTGCTGCTCTTTACTAACTACAAAACACCATGTTATTGTCTTTAAGAGGGAGAAGAAACAAGAAGTTAAAAATCCACTGGACAGCTTTTTCAAGGATGTGTAGACCTGCTACACGAATAGTTTTCTCCCTGTTGTTTTCTGATGCAACGCAAAGCATTGTTTAAAAAAGTCTCTAAAACGATTATCTAACAGAAGGCATTTTTTGACAGTTGTTATTGACTTGTGATGGTACAGGCCCTGACAGGCCATCAGTCTGAGCACTGCAGTCTGCAGATGCAGAATGAACCACACTATTGCTGTGGCTATGAAAAGATGGCAGGAAAAAATTCCATTCTTTTTACTCCATTTAAAAGAGTGTCTGGCATGTGAAGGTGGCTTACATCCTCAATTGTACCACTCTTTGACAGCGTTTAAGATAGCAAAGCTCAAAAATATTATGAAGAATGTGTATGAAAAATAACTAAAAAGAATTATGCCCTTGGATTTCCAGCTTGCAAAGGCAGAAGGGTCTACAGTCTTAAGTAATAAATTGCCTTCTTTGAATGTGGTGGAGAAATGAGATATATATATGCACATACACATCTAGGGGTTTTTATATAATTTAAAACATTGAAAGCAAATGATCAAAAAAAAAATCAAAGTAGTATACAGGAATATAATGTGCAAAGGAAAAGTGTCTATCTTTCTTCCTACATTCCTGATTCCCACTTGTTGTTACCCCATCTCCATTCCTATTCTCCACTCCTATTCCTTAGACACTATATATATATATATATATATATATATATATTTTTTTTTTTTTTTTGGGGGGGGTGGGTACTGGGGATTGAAAACAGAGGTGTTTTACCACTGAGCTATATCCCCATCCCTTTTTATTTTTTATTTTGAGACAGGGTCTCATTAAGTTGCTTAGGGTCCGGGTAAACTGCTAAAGCTGGCCTCAAACTTGCAATCCTCCTGCCTCAGACTCCTGGGTCACTGGGATTACAGGGATGTGCCACTGTACCTGACCAATGTGACCATACTTTGTGTTTTGTTTCAGAGATGTTCTGGGATTATAAAAATATAACTTCTTTCTGACTTCTCTCCCTCTCTCTCTCTCTCTCTCTCTCTGTCTCTCTCTCTTTTTGTGGTGCTGGTGATTGAACCTAGGGCCTTGTGAGGAGGCAAGCACTCTATCAACTGACCTATGTCCCCAGTCCCCTCATTTCCCTGTTTAAAAACTCTAAATGAGGGCCTGGGGTTGTAGTTCAGTGGTGGATCACTTGCCTCGCATGAGTGAGGCACTGGGTTCAAAACGCAGCACCACATGAAATAAATAAAGATATTTTGTCCATCTACAACTAAAAAAAAAATTCTTAAAAACCCCTAAATGAGATACTATAAAATTATATTCTGCAACTTAGATTTTTTTTCTATTTAACAGCCTATCTGTTATAGTGCATTTTTGTCACATTAGCTTATTTAGAACTATGTAATTTTTTTTAAAAAAATGTTTTTTTAAACTGAAAAGAAAATGCATAACAGAAATGAAGTTATAAGAGACAGCTGGTCTTAGAGAAATATGAAATAATTACTATAAAAAGTTAATTATCTTTCCTCTGCAAGGAGAGAGGAGAAATACTCAGGTGCAGGAAACACATTTTCTTTTTCTCACACTCTTGTGTGAAAAAATTAGTAAGGTAGTTTAAACAATAACTTAGGTCCTTGAAAATTTTATCAGGTCACACAATTTAAAAGTCAGTACTTAAAGAACAGTAGATGGTCTTTTACATAAAACAAAATGATCTCTTTTAGACCAACATGACAGTCTCCTTATTAGAGACTTCCCTCTTTTAGTCTATGATGCTTCTTAATTGAACAACTTCATATAGGTCAAAGGCTCCAAAATGGTCGTTACAATTTCCAGTTGTCCTTAAAAAAACCATGGGAGGAGAAAGAGAAATCCATGAAAACTTGGCTGATGATTGGCCAAATGTAAACATTTGGTTTATATCTTAGATTGTTCTGGCTAAAACAAAATGTCATAGACTAGGTGGCTCATAAACAACAGAAATTATTCCTCACAGTTCTGGAGGCTGGGAAGTTAAAAGATTAAGATGCTGGCAAACTTGGTGTTTGATGAGGGCTTTCTGGTATATAGCAGACACCTGTTTTCTTGGTGTGTCCTCACATGACTAAAGGAGCAAGACACCTCAGCAAGTACTCTTCTGTAAAAGCACTAATGCCATTCATGAGCTAATTACTTCTCCAAAGCCTGGCCTTCTAGTACTATCACCTTGCCATTAGGGCTTCAATATATGAATTTGGGGAATGGGGAGGATATAAATATGCAGTCCATTGCATTCTGTCCCTAGGATTTCCCAAAGAAACAACCCATAACTTGTATGTGTGTGTGTGTGTGCGTGTGTGTGTGTTTATTAATTCTGGGGATTGGCTCATGAGATAATGAAGGTGAGAATTTCCTTGTTCTACTGTCTGGCAGTTGGAGAAACAGGAAAACATTGTGGCATGATTCCCAGCCAAATCTGAAGGCCTAAGAACCAGAGAAACCAAAGGTGTAAGTCTTAGTTCACGTCCTGAGTTTTGAGAACCTGGGGCTCAGATATCTGAGAGAGAAAAAGGTCAATATCCCAACTCTAACAGGAAGCCAATTTGCCCTTCCTCTGCATTCTTTTTTTTTTCCAGGTTTTTTTTTTTTTAGTTATACATGGACTCAATAACTTTATTTTGTTTATTTATCTTTTGATGTGGTGCTGAGGATCGAACCCACTGCCTCATACATGCAAGACAAGTGCTCTGCCACTGAGCCACAACCCCAGCCCCCCTTCCTATGCATTCTTGTCATATCCAGCTCTCAATGAATTGAATAATGGCCATCCACAACTTCTTTATTCAGTCTACCAATTTAAATGCTCATCACTTCTGGAAACATCCTCACATGCACCCAGAAATCATCTTTTACCAGCTTTCTGGGCATCCTTTAGCTCAGTGAAGTTGACACATAAAATTAACCATCATGTGGACTGGGGATATAGCTCAGTGGTAGAGCAATTGCCTACTATCTCCAAGGCCCGGGTTCTACCCCCAGCACCACAAAATAATAAAAAAATTTAAAAAAATTAATAATCACAGTGTTTGGGGCCCTTTTTAAAAATAATATTTATTTTTTAATTTTAGGTGGACACAATATCTTTATTTTGCTTTTATGTGGTGCTGAGAATCGAACCCAGTGCCCCACGCATGCTAGGCGAGCATGCTACCACTTGAGCCACATCCCCAGCCCCTGTTTTGGGCCCTTAACCCTAAAGTTAAGCCACCCTGACTGCTGACCTAAGTAATTAGCAGCAGATTTCTCATATACAGACAAGGATGATGAAAGCTCTCATAGATACACATAGAAGCCAGGAGATGATGTTAAAAGTCAAATGCTACTAGAGGACACCAAAGTCTAATCAAAACTCCCAAATCTCAGAGGTAAGTAATAAACCTGACATTGAGGGGCTGCGGGTATAATTGAATGAGAGACTGCTTCTCTGGTATGCAAGGCCTAGGTTCTATTCCCAGTACTGCAAAAACAACAACAACAACAACAAAACCCTGACATTGAAGGGCCAACAAGATAATCAGAGTTAGGTCATTTACCATCATTATTTGTGTGATATTAATTATGTAAATATATTTTCTCACATTCATTGATTTCTGTACTGGAAGAACTCTTTGTGATTGTCTCTTCTAATAAGGACTACAAGGGATTAAGTGACTTGATCAGGATTACACAGAACTGGCTAGAACCCAGCTTTTTTAATGAATATACTTAAATTAGTAAAAGTATGTCACATGTGTAAAAGAAGATAAATAATATGTACAATGATCATCAATGTTTTAAAAAAAGTAGAATAGCATCACAAAAACTTTCCATTATAGGGCTGGGGACATAGCTCAGTTGGTAGAGTGCTTACCTTTCATGCACAAGGCCCTGGGTTCAATCCCCAGCACCACAAACAAACAAACAAAAAAACTTTCCATTATAACCTGGGTGACACCAGGCAGGAGGACCTTGAATTAGAAAGCTGGAAGAGGCTGATGAATGCTGGCACAGC